ATAGATAGATAGATAGATAGATAGATAGATAGTTAGATAGATAGATATAGATATAGATATAGATATAAAGAGAAGTCTATTATCTTACAATTATAGAGTCCCAGGTCCTCAGCAGAAGAGAAAATGAGAGTCCCTCACATTTTATTGGGAGAAGGCCACACCCCCTAGGAAGCATCCCTTTAATTGATTGGCTGTTCATAGCTGCTCATCACAGAGCTAACTATGCCTGTATTAGGTTTTATCACTATGGTAATACGTACATTCCCAACTGCTAAACCTCTTGAAATCCTGGTCTAGTTGAGTTGGCATAGAATCCTAACCATTACTCCGTCCTTATCAACTCGAAACCTACAAACTATATGCATAATCTCTAAGTAAAGAATATTTAAAAGCCATAAAAATAAAAAAGCTTATCAATATATAGAACACTATCATGATGCCATAAAATTCCCTCCTGCCCATTCTCAGTCAATCTAAACTCCGTACCACCTCCCATAGTTAACTTCTGTTCTGATTCGTTTTCTCCATAAAATACTTCTTTTACAACTTCATATAAAGAAATCAGACAGTATATACTCTTTCCTGTAAGGTTTCTTTCATTCTCAAAGCTCCTTTAAAACACACACACACATATTGAGAAATTTCATATTGAGTACGTCAAAAGTATCTAGTTCACAAAAGAATTGACTTCTGGCTTGAGTGTCCCAATCAAAAGATGGCACTAGGAAAACCATGGGAAGGGATCTGTGAGTGAGCTGGCAAGGGGTCCTCCCAGAAGTACTCAGCCAGTCTAGACCAGGGTGTCTGACAGAGATTAGCTGGCGAAGTGTGGGGAAAGATTTGACCTTTAGGAAACCGAACAATCAGACAAAAGCCTGAGGAGCAATTGCAAATTTCGTAGCTTCAAATAGTTTTCTAAGCAAGAAATGGAAAGGAATAAATGCTATTTTGTATCAGATGCTTGGCATTTTATACACACGATTTCATTTGATCCTCACAACAGATCCATGAGGTTGCCATTATTTTTACAAGGTAAAAATAACTTTTTTTTTGTACTTCAGAGATCAAATAACTGCAATTTTTTGTGATTGAATGACTTGCTTGTGGGCACTCAGATACAGTCAGGATATAAAAGTTATTTTTATAAAGCTATTTTTATCTAACTCTAAAGATGAGGTAACTACAATTCTGGTGACTGTATGTCTTGATCAAGGTTACTAAGCGACCATCTATTGAAGCCAGGGCTACCTAGTTCTACAGAATTATAACTGTCATATTTTCAAATGAGTTATCTAGCTTTTTACTCACAAAGAGAATAGTGAAACTCACCCATGCAAAAACCAAGTCCTCACCTGCACTGCCAGCTTCCTGGGGTTCCTAGTGTTGCCAGGTGCCAAGCTGCTATCCTCGAGGGTACTGTGCTGAGGATTATGATAGCAAGCTGAACACCGGATGTACTGGTGGTGGTGGCATTGGCAGTTGTAACAGTTTGGCATCATATTTCTCTTTAGTAAGGCAGGACAGATGTCCCCAGAGCAATAAACGCAAGAGTCATGGACTACAGCTCCCTGAACACTAGGGGAGTAAGAGCAGGCATTGCAATAATCAAAATCACCGCAGTGCAGTGGCTTCCGACACATGGATTGTTTTAGGCCTTTGTTTGCAAAGCATTCAGGATAAGTAGGAGTTTCTAACTGAAGGGGTGACATGGAATTATATGATTGGTCCATGGGACGGTATCTCAGCTCTCTATAGCTGGAGCTCATTGGCTGGAAGTTCTGGTTTATAGGCTTTGGTCTCTGGGTAAAAATCTTGTTGTTATGAGTAGTTAAACCTGGCAAATGAGACATGGATAAAGATTTGCTATTCTCTTCAAAAAACTTTCTTCTATCTGCAAAGGGCAAGAGGATGGCTTCCTCCCCAACTTGTGTCATAGAAGCCTTCAATTCCTTGTTGACTCCTGTGTTGGAAGAACCATCCATGGCAAGTGGGATATGTGGCTGTAGGTTATGCTCTGGAGACCATCTCCACTGATCTCCATGGATTCCATGGTGAACATTTGTTTTCTCAGAGTCTGAAGAGGGTGGATCAGCTTTCCACCTGGTGTTCAGGCCCAAAGAGGACTGGCCAGACCTCTGGCCAGGGCTTATTTGTCCCTCCAAGCCTGTTCTAGATTCATAGCTTTCAGGGGCTTGACTAAGGCATTCTGAAGATCTAGCCCTGAGTATCATGCTCTTATTGAAGAGCTTGTTTCTGGGACTAGGAGGTTTTTTATATGAAGAGAGAAGAAATGAATTCGAATCAGGAAGTGAAGGACTTTCTGGAGGCTCCTCAGTCTCTTCCACTGGCTCCTTAGTGTCACATAACTGTGACAAAGGACCCTTACTTTTCTGGAGCTGGGCTTTCCTCCTCTGAATTTCATTACGTAGATTGGTAGCAAAACGCTCACTCTTACGTCGGTTTTGGATGGAGCGACCCCGGGTCCCGCCACATTGCTTACTATCCATTCGGGCACATTCTTTGGACTCATGGCTGACTTCTTCAATTGCCTTTATCCCATTGGTTACTTTAATGGTTGAAGAACAGTCCCTGGTTTGTTGAGCAGGAGGAACAGAGGCAGAGGGCTGCTGGCTTGTCGATTCACTGCCTATCCTGTTTGGGTCCAGAAAACCTCTTCCTGGAGTTTGTTCTTCAGCATCTCCATGAGGGGAACTGCTGGAGCTCTGGTGTTCAGAATTCACAGAACTATCGTCAATTGGCCTGGTTTTTCTATCTTTGAGGAGTTGGTCCTGGGCTCCTCCTGCAAGGGGACATAGACTTTTCTTCCCTGTATGAATGCTATGCAAGGGGGATAGAGTCCATTGGTGTCCATCCTGCCCAGATGGGAGTTCCATCCCCTTGCTACCCCTAGTATCGAGGTGCATATGCTGTAGGTGGGATGCCAGCAGTTGTTCAGGGGCACTGTGGCGATGCCCTGTGAGCCCTGTGAGGTGTGGCAGGTTGCCAATAGAAGAAGCCTTAACTGGCTCTGCTGAAGGCTGGTTGAGTGGACTGGGATCTATGCTGGATGCCTTATCACAGGTTTGGGGGTACCCAACAGCTTTGGCTGAGGTCTCCATCAGCAGATGTTCAGAACCCTGCTGGCCGGAGTCAGGAGGCTGACTGGACTCACAGTTCTGATGGTCCTCATTCATCACTTGGTCTTTTCTGCTGTGGCAGCAGAACCTGTTAGGGTTCCTTGGGGACATCTCTGAGCTCAGTTTCTCCTTCTGTTGCAAGGAGTCCATGGGCTCAGGTGTGCTACACCGCTCTCCACTGAGGAGCTGGGCTCTAGAGGCCTGAAGGCTGTCTCGCCTCACTGGTGGTTGCGGTGGTCCCCTTGATGCTTTTGCAGCCCTCAAGTGGTGGCCCTCCTGTGGGTGGGACGGCATCTGAGGGCTAGTGGTCAGGTGGCCCCCATTAGTACGTCGGCCACTTCCTGAGATGTCAGCCACATTAAGTCGGCCACTGGGGACCTTACTTGGCCCTGGGCCTTGCATGGTACAGTCTGCAGAGGCAGGCTCCTCTGGCCTGAGGGAAAGGACACAGTCAGAGGCATTTGAGCTGGCTGAGAAGGAGCTGTAGGCTGAGTCACGCTGGTTGGGGTACACGTTCTGGTCAGTGGGCAAGAGGTGGCCCTCATAGGTGACTTGTCCTGGTTGCTCCAGGCTCTCCATGCTTCCAATGGAGCTGCTTTTCTCAGTGCTGCAGTGTCGGGAGAGTGGGTACCACTGCACACACACGTCACTGTAAGACACAGGGCACAATGGTTAGTGAGCTAAATCACCAGATCCCGTCCCCACCCTGGCCAATCCTGGTAAGGGATATGGCAGGATAACCCAGAGGAACACATGGTTCAAATGAGAGGGCAGTAAGTCAAAAAGGAAGAAAGGAAACAGGGAATGAGATAGATACTTGGGCACCACAGGGATGTAGTAAAGGAGTAGGGACCAGATGGCATATGGAAGACGCCTGGGGAAACATCCCAAAGACTAAAACGGTGAGAAATAGATGAGTATTGTGTTCTGTTTCCTTGTCATCAGCCAGTCTAGAATTCCTTCTGGGCTATCCCAGTCCCTAGGTAATGAGCATGCAGCTCTTGACCAAGAAAGACAATCACAGAATATCAGCATTAGAAAGAGGCCCTTCAAGAACTGTTCAATTTCAGCCAGATAATTTTGTAAACTAGTGATTCTCAAACTTTGGTGGTGGTGGTTGTGTGCTGTGGAGTCAGTTCTGACTTATAGCAACCCTGTGTAGGGTTTCTGAGGCAGTAAAGTCTCATCTTTATGCCATGGAGCAGTTGGTAGATTTGAACTGCTGACCTTGCAGCCCAGTTCGTAATCTAATATGCTACCGGGGCTCCTTGTCTTAAATTTTAGTGTACATCAGATTCATGTGGAGGGCTAACAAATTACTGAGCATGGGGCCTGATAAGTTACACTTCTAAGAAGTTTCCAGATGATGCTGGGCTGCTGGTCCAAGGCCCATGTTTTCCCCTAGAGGTTTTTCTGCATGGGGCCTGATAAGTTACACTTCTAAGAAGTTTCCAGATGATGTTGGGCTGCTGGTCCAAGGCCCATGTTTTTGAAAATCGCTGCTGCAGAGCAATCGTGGCAAAGGGAAGTGATTTGGGAGCAGTGATTTCCTTAAGATTATCATTTAGCTCTGGTAGTGTAGTGGTTACAAATTGGGCTATGAGCCGCAAGGTCAGCAGTTCTAAACTACTAGCTGCTCTGCGGGAGAAAGATGAGGCTTTCTGCTCCCGTAAAAATTTACAGCCTCAGAAACCCTGTACAGGGTCGTTATGGGTCAGAACCGACTCGACGGCACTTAACAACAACAACATCATTTAGCTAGTGGCCCAGGGATCACCAGAATTTAGGGATTCCCTATACTTCTTTTCTTGATAATAGCAATCATGACCGCTTACAGAAGACTTACAATGTACCAGGCACTTTTCAATAACCATTTCAAGCAGAAGAGGAAAGATGATTATTCCCACTTTAACCAGAGAAAACAGAAGGTTCTCTAATATAAAGTAAACCCAAAAGCTCATAAAGTTGTTACAGAAGCAGAGCTTGAATCGAACCCAGGCATCTATGATTTCAGTGCCTCAGCTCATGAGTTATACCATCTTTTAAAGGGGGATACAATAATATCTTTATTGGAAGGCTGCTGTGTAGAAGAAATTAGACCGTACATGTAAAACCCTTATCACAGCTTGGGTACCTAGATGGATTCAATACATAGAAGCTACTGCTGTCGTGGTGGTTGTTGTTATTGCTATCAGCATAGTCTCTACTGCTCTGATCGATACGTCAGTGGCCTCCTTCCCCCCCCTCCCCCCACCACACACACCAAAGCCAAACTGGGGAAACAAAGAAAGAGGCGAGAATTAGATGCTATTTTGAATTTTAAATACCGTTTCCCACACACAAAAGCAATCTGAGTCAAGTTATGCCAGTAATTTAATATGGCTAAAACCCCAGAATTGATGCCTTTGAGTTATAGTGTTGGAGGAGAATATTGAAAGTGCCATGGGCTGCCAAAAGAACCAATAGAGCCGTTTTGGAAGAAGTGCAGCCAGAGTGCTCCTTAGAGGCCAAGATGGCCAAACTTTGTCTCTCATACTTTGGATATACTGTCAGGAGGGAGCAGTCACTGGAGAAGGATATCATGTTTGGTAAGGTGGAGGGTCAGAGAAAAAGAGAAAGACCCCCAACGAGATGGACTGGCCAAGTGGCAGCATCGATGGACTCAAGTGTGGCAACAATAGTGAGGTTGGCCCAGGATCGGGCTGTGTTTTGTTCTGCTGTGCATAAGGTTGCTATAGGTCGGTACCAACTTGATGGCACCTAACAACAAAAACAAAAACCCCAGAAAGGCCAGAGACCAGAAGGTTAGAGCTGAGCTATAGTAGGAATCCATGAGGCCCTTGGGTTGTTGTTGTTGTTGTTAAGTGCTGTTGAGTCAGTTCCGACCCATAGCTACCTGTATAGGGTTTCCAAGGAGCGGCTAGTGATTTTGGACTGCTAACCTTTCAACCATAGACCAAAAGGTCAGGGTTGAGCTATAATAGGCCGTGGGGTTAGCTGCTCTTAATTCTTATTCCCTGCCTTGCTCCTTGGCCACTCTGCTCACTTGTTCTTTGGTCTAAGAATTAATCAATTCCTTGTTGGCAAAGGAACCTGCTATTCTCTCTGCCACCCTTCCTGCTGGAACAAAACAAAACAAAACACAACTCCCCAACTGAAACAGGAGCCAAGCTCCAAATATGGTTCTGTACAGTCTTCTAGAACACAAATGCTTCTGCTCTGAGCCCTGGCTTTCAGTGTCAAATAGTTATCAAGTGCGGGAAAACTCAACCCTTGGCTTCCTTGAGCTTCCTCAATATAAATCCTTTCTTAGAGAGAAGATCTTGTTGTAGACAGTAAAAGGCAGCTTAAGTTAGCAGTTCTGGTGGCTTCCTGAGCTTGCTGAGATTTTTTTTCTGCCTTTTCTGGGAGAATGTTTCAACAATAAGAAATAGCACAACCCCCTCAAAAGAATTGCAGACAAACCCTGTTATTTAAGGAAGTCTTCATCATTTTGAAGTTTTTGGCTCTGTGGCAGAGTTGATAAACAATGGATGAGATCACCAATGAGTCTATGCAGATAGTGATGAGGACTATAACCAAGCGCCGGGGGCCCTCTGGTATTAAGAGGCCAGAGAAAAAAACAGAAAAGAGACTGAGAAGCAGCAGCCAGTGAGGTAAGGTGAAAAGCAAGAGATTGTCGTGTCTTGCAAGTCAAGTGAATAAATATTTCAAGGAATCCTTTTTTTCAGAAGGAATGTGTCTAGCCCTAAGTCACGCAGGGATAGTGACAAACTCGGACTAGAACCAAGGTTCTCTAGACTCCCAGTTCACTTTCCATTATACTGCTCTATGCCATCCAACAAGTACTAGAGAAGACAAGGAACAGTTGTCTGAATGTCATCCCGCCAGTACATCTTGAGAAAAAGACTCTAGACTCACCTTGCGTTGCAGCCTGAATGCCAGGACAAGCTGAAGGCTTCAGAAGGGAAATGCATGGTGGTGGCTGCCTCAGGGTATCCCTCCAGCAGCTTGGCCACATGCCATGAATGTGGCCTACTCACAGGGGTGTTTCTCCTACAGCAGGAAAGGGACAGGAAGTTAGCTTGGGGAACCAGAGTTGAAATCACTTCCCAAGCAGCTTCCGCCCCACCCCTTCTTTCCCTCAAATGAAGTAGAACATCTTACAAGGAGTTGGTGGGTGTGGGAATATTAGTAGCCTTTCCTCAACTCCCAGTACTCAAATATCCTACATCCTGAGGTTGGTCCATGGAGATAAAGAATTTCAGTTTCATGGGGCTCTTTTTGTTCCCTGATATATCCCAAGCACATACAACAGTGCCAGATACATAGCAGATACTTGATAAATATTTGAAAAATAGTGAGCCTACCTTTACTACCCTTTGAGGAAAACATTATTCAGTATGGCCAAATGATTGAGAAGTTCAAACAAATCAATATTGGGTTAGGAATTCTCCAACTTTTACTCATTCATTCAGAAACCACATGTCTGCTTACTATGTGCCATTTAAGTATAGTTTTAAGAGACTACAGAGATGAATCAAACATTGTGCCCTTGAGAGCTTACAGCTTAGTGAGGGTTGTTGTTGTTAAGTGCTGTTGAGTTGGTTCTGACTCATAATGACCCTGCATAGGATTCCCAGGGAGTGGCTGGTTGGTTTGAACCACCAACTTTTCGGTTAACAGTCAGATGATTATCCTAAAGTAGCACTGACAGAGCTAATTCAAATACAGTGAGATTAGGCACCTGAGTTTGTAAACAAAGTGGTATCATGGGACTCCAAACTCTGTAAGGGAAAAATGTGGTGAAGGACACAGTGCTAGGTTAAGAGAAGGGACTAGCTGCTTAGCAGGTCTGGTATAAAGAAAGGGTGCAAAGGTCTAAATCCAAGGTCCCAAGCATCTCCTAGATGCTAGAAACTGCAACCACAACTCTTGTACTGACTGTTTTAGATAGGATCCAGCCCTGTCCTCAGCCAAATTTCACATGAGCAGATGTTGTCTTTGTGAGTGGAGAAGAATGGAATTGGGCAAAGCACACACGTGGAACATGGGAAGTGTAGAAGAGATAGAGCTATGATGGATGAAAGATAAAATGAGGACATGAGGGAGGGGTAGGAGTTGGGAGTAATGATGGAGAGGACCAAATATATAATGGAGGTAAGAGAGAAAGAAGAAAGAGGGAAAAACAAATGACAGAAAGGGAGACAAACCAGAGAAAGAATACAACAAATCAGAGAAAGAATACAGAGAAATGCAAAGTAGAGAGAAATGGATGAGAGAGAGATATGAATGAGAATGAGATATAGATGATAAATAAGTAGATGAAAGAGACACAGATAGATCATAGATCAATTATGAATTTATTCACTCAATTACTGTGTCAGATAGCTACTGAGGGCACAGAGTTTTGTAAGATAAGTTCCCTGTTTTACATAAGCTTGCTATGTAATACGATAAATCAGCTCTCCCAGCAGTAGTGGACAAAACCAAATTGGAAGATTCAGTCCTGGCCAGAAGTGCACCACCACCATACCCTCATCCCCGACACCTGCAAATTCAGGCAGAATCCAGAAAATCCAAGTAGTGTAATGCTCTCTAGGGACTAGACTTACATAGAAATCTTGAGGAGAAATGGGCATTGTCAGAGAGTGATATGGTCTTACTGCACAAGACCTCTTTAAAGTATTCAGGATCACAGTGGTAATTTTAAGGACTAAGGTGTGCCTGACCCAAGCCATGGTATTTGTAATACCATGGTTACGAATCAGGCTGCTAACCTCAAGGTGGGCAATTCGAAACTACCAGCTGTTCTGGGGGAGAAAGATGAGGCTTTCTGCTGCTGTAAAGATTTGCAGTCTTGGAAACCCTGTGTAGGGTCACTGAGTAGGAACCAACTCCACAGTACTTAACAACAACAACAATATGAATGTGAAAGTTGAGCAATGAACAAAGAAGACCATAGAAGAACTGATGCATTTGATTCATAGTATTAGATAAGAATATTGAAAGCACCATAGATTGCCAGAAGAACAAATCTGTGTTGAACAAAGTGAATCCAGAATGCTCCTTTGAAGCCAGGATGGTATGATTTCGTCGCTCATACTTCAGACATGTCAGAAGATACCAGTTTCTGGTGGAGGACGTCATGTTAGGTAAAGTGGAGGTCGGTGAACAAGAAGACTCCCAATGAGGCGGACTGGCACAGTGGCAGCAGCAATAGGCTCAAGCATCACAATCATTGTGAGACTGGCACAGGACTGTTGTGCACAGGATCACTATAAATTGGAACTTGGAGCAACGACCATTGATTTAATGGTAAAAGGCGAGACATAGGAGATGCAAGAAGAAGGGAAAGGGAAGCTGCTTGCCAAAGTTCGGGAACTAAAGTCATGGGTCAGCAGGAGTGGTTAAGATTTATAGGAAAGTCAGATGAGACCCCTATTTGGTAATCACATGGTTCTAATATGGATTTCAGAGTGCCCAGAGAGGATGCGGAAGATGTCAAAAGACCTGGGGAAGGATGGTAGGGGTACACATGGAAAGCCCTGATGGTAGGAAACCTCTCCAGCTGCTGTTATCCAATAGCCATTCCATCAAAAACTCTTATAAAGCATCTACTATGCATCAGGAGTCCTGATGTGGTGCTGTAGGAGAAGCACTGGACAAGGCATGTGGTTCAAACCGACTAGACACTCCACAGAAACCCTATACAGGGTCACTATGAGTTGGAACTGACTCATCAGAACTTAACAACAACTATGCTGCAGCTATACTTCTAGTCCCCAAGTATATAGTGGAAGTACAGGCACCTCTCCTCTTTTAGTTCCATATCCAAAATTCCTCAAATTCTTCTGAATCCATAGCGAAACTGTTGAATCCCTCACAGAATTTGAGTATTCTTTTATGTCTCTCTGGATTCACCCTTCCCTCCTTCACTTCCTTACACTATCCCCCTTTTCTCCCTCTCTCTCTACTCCATTCCACCAAGTGGTACCTCTCCATCATAGGGACCACCAACAACACCTCTTGTCAGGTCATTCACACTTTATGTCCAAAATACTGCATCATCCTGCCAACCAGTCTACTCTTGTTTCACCGCCAATCAATGTGTTTAGACCATACCACCTCAAACATTCCACCACTTATTTGTCCGTTTCTTATATTGTGGTGGCTTGCATGTTATTGTGATGCTGGAAGCTATGCCAAAAGTATTTTAAATACCAGCAGGGTCACTCATGGTGGAGACATTTCAATGAAGACTCCAGATTAACACAGAATAGGAAGAAGGAGAGGCAGATAACTTCTGAATGATTAGCCACTGAAAGTCTTATGAATAAGAGTAGAACATTGTCAGAAATAGTGCAGGAAGAGGAACCCCTCAGGTTGGAAGGCATTCAAAATACGACTGGGGAAGGGTTGCCTCCTCAAAGCAGAACTGATCTTAATGATATGAATGAACCAAAGCTGTTGGAACTTTCATTTGCTGATGCGAACCAACTCAAACTGAAGAAACAGCTGAAAACACCCATTAACAGTCTGAACGTGGAATGTAGGAAGTATGAATCTAGAAATTTGGAAGCTATCAAAGATTACTGAAAATTACTGTTAATTGGAATGTGAAGGTTGGAAACAGAGAAAAATTAGCAGTAGTTGGAAAATATGGCCTTGTGGATTGAAATAATGCTAGAGAACACATGATAAAAATTTGCCAGACCAATGACTTACACATTGAAAATAGCTTTATTAAACAACATAAAAGATGACTATACACATGGACATTATCAGATAGAATACACAAAAATAAAATTGATTTCATTGGTGGGGAGAGATGGTGGAAAAGCTCCATATCATCAGCCAAAATAAGGCCAAGGGAAAACTGGAACAGACCATCAACTGCTCATACAAGTTCAGGCTGAAACTGAAGAAAATTAAAACAAGTCCATTAGAGCCAAAATATGATCTTGAATATATCTCACCTAAATTTAGAGACAATCTTAAGAACAGATTTTATGCATTAGACACTAGTGACCAAAGAACAAAAAGAAAGACCAAAAGGGATGTCAGAAGAGACTCTGAAACTTTGCTCTCCAATGTTGTTGTTAAGTGTCATCGAGTCGATTCCAACCCATAGTGACCCAGTATAGGATTTCCAAGGAGCAGCTGGTGAGCTTGAACTGCCTACCTTGCAGTTTAAACAGCTTTGCAGTCTGGCACACTAACCCATAACACCACACCAGGGATCTCCAGTGTAGAGGTACTAAAACAAATGGCAGACATGAAGCTAAAAAAGACAAGAACAGAAAATTTGAAAGGGCATCTCAAAAAGACAAAGTCAAGAATTATAAAGAGGAGGCAGGGCTTGATGGCAGCTAGGGTGGAAGTACAGTAAGGTTCACCATCAGCAATACCACAGAATACGAGGCAAAGCAGATTCAGGCCAGAGCTTCAAAACTTGAAACCACATAGGTAGGAATATTTAAAAAGTTTTAAGGCTTATAACTATTGGGAATTGTAGCGAAAACAAGAAATTGTGTACTTTTGAATCTGCTGGGCTTGGCAGCCTGGAGCCAACAACTTGGGCGAGACCAAACGGCAAGACCAAGTGGGGAAGCAGACACACCATGGAAAAATGCCACAGAAACCTCAGAGCAAAGGTGGACAATACACTTTGTTGGTTTTGCTTTGCTCTGATTTTCTTTCTTTCTTTTTTTTTTTTTTGGTATGTGTTCATTGGCCCCCCCACTGGTTGCACACCTCCATTCTGGTGACTAGAGGGGGTGCCTGAGCGAGTGGACACACCCCACCCTCACCACTTGTTCTTCTGCCACATATGTGCACAGATATTCTCAGCCCAAGAGCCGGCACTGTTGTTGTTGTTGTTGTTTTTTTTTTAATACGGAAAAGGCCAGAAAACAATGGGGATGGAGACGGAAAGAGAGTTGAAAAACAAAACAGGGCAAAAATTAAATTAAATCCTGAGGAACAGCATAACAACCAACAGTGGCATCTTGAAATTGCTCAGGAAGTTTTGAAGGCAAGAAGCTGAAAGAGGA